GGGGCCCAGCGCGGACCCAAGAAACCCGCGCGGGGCGGGCCCAGGCCCCCTCGAGTCATCAACCAGAAAAAAATACGACGGGAGGTTTTTCGCGACGCTCGGCCTCTGGGTGCCCTTGCCGGGCCCCGGGACCGTCAAAAAACGGCTCGGGAGGCAAAACCGGTCCCGAGGAAGGGGTCCAGACCTCTGGGGGTCGGCGCTGCGACAAAAATCACGGCGTCGGGGGTCTGGGGGGGGGGAAGGAAGACCCGACCAGCTACAAGAAGACGAAGCCAGGACGAGGATAAAATCGGGTGAGGATAAGTCGAGAAGCTCTGCCATCTGGCGGCTCTGGAGGACGTCTCGGGCACCGCGGCCTCCTCCAAGCGTTCCAGAACGCTCTGAGAGCTTTCCACAACGCTCTGACAGCGTTGCGGAGCGGTCTAGAACGGATTGGTCCTCGTCCTGACCCTGTCCGAGATCATCGGGCCCAGACTAACCCCTCTCAGCGCAAACCTGGCTCAGCCAATGTGGAAACAACAACTGCGCTGCAGCGGGGGCTTCCCGAGCCCAGCTTGGCCAATATGTATGCAGGGGCCACCTCCGGGGGGCCGTGCGCGGCTCCCGAGCCCAGCCCAGCCCAAATCGGCCCGCGCAGGCCGGGGGCGCGCATCAAATCGTGTCGACGATCTCCCGAGAGGGGGGGCCGAAGCCGATGACCCGCCCAGGATGTTCGGAGCGCATCGTCGGCGTCTTTGGCATTGTCATCGTCATTATCATTGACATCGTCGTGAGCATCATGGTCATCATCGTCGCCGTCGTCGTCACCACCATCATCACAATCATCACCATCATCAGCATCAGCATCAGCATCACCATCACCGTCACCATCTCCATCATCATCATCAGCACCATCACCAACATCATCATCACCATCATCACCACGATCATCATCATCATCATCACCACCACCATCATCATCATCATCATCATCATCATCATCATCAGCATCAGCATCAGCATCAGCATCAGCATCAGCATCAGCATCAGCATCATCATCATCATCATCATCATCATCATCATCATCATCATCATCATCATCATCATCATCATCATCATCATCATCATCATCATCATCATCGTCATCGTCATCGTCACCGTGTCCAATCTCCCATGGCCTGGCCTCGATCTCCTGCTGGCCGTCACGCCCACGTCCATTGCCCGTGCCACCACGCCGTGCTCCCGCCCCCCACATCACACCCAACTGTACTAGTCCGCCCGCAAGGGCTCCCGTGATCCTTCTTCCACGGCCTTGCCGACCCCATCCCCGGGGACCGCTGCACCTCACAGCCATTCTTCGACGGCCCCGGGACCGGGCGAGGGCCCTCCTGGGGCCGAAGATTGTCAAGACCTCCCGCCGCTTGCTTCGTCGCAGCGCTCGGGCGCACGCCGACATGGCTCAGGGATCGGCGGACCGGGCATACCGTCGGGGCGTTGACCTAAGGAACGATAAAGAAGGAGCCAATCCCCTTCTTCCAATAGACAAACTTCGACTGACCATCGAAACCTGAGGAGCACCTACGGCAACCTGCCGAGCAACTGCGGAACACTGAGTCCCTCCCAAAGGAAAAGCGTTCCTTCTTCAGCGCCCCGACTGTCTGGGTGCCGGCTCCGCGGATCGGGGAAGGCACCCCTCGAAACGTGGCGCCGGTGCCGCCTGCTCTGGCGACGGAGAGCGCGCCGACGTGGCACGAGGGCGGCACTGGATGAGCACCCCGTAGGTAAGGAGTCCGGGGTCTGGAAGCCGGTGGGTCACCGATTGAGGCTTTACCATCGACATCACCTCGCCGTTACCCTCATCAGATCTGGAGTCTCCCAGGGTCCGAAGCCTCCTGGGTGTCTTCCTGTCTTCCTTGGAGAAGAACAGCGGCATACACACACAACTTTTGGAGCTCCGCGCGGATCTCTTGGGGTCGGAGCTGGAACCCTCTCCCTGGCGCGCGGAGCGCGCCAGGGGCGGCGCCAGAGGCGCCGCCAGGTGGGGGCCCAGCGCTGGCCCGAGAAATCCGCGCGGGGCTACAAAAGTCTATAGTTATGCTGTGGTCTTGTTCTTCGATCCTGGGCACATGCCTTCACCAACGCCCCCACCGCGTGCAGACGGAGCCCGTCGCTGACCCAACGCGACTGTATCTATGCTTGCGCCCCCTTGAGCGGGAGAGCCCAGAATCGAATCGACAAGTCGGATCGGCGATCGAAATGAATCGGATCGGCGGAAATCGGAAGCCGGGTCCGGGGAAGTCGAGTCTTTGGAAATCGGCAGGCTAGTAAGTCCTCCGTCAAGAAACTGGAGCCCAAGCCGAGGAGGAGGAGGCCGAGGAGAAGGAGGAGGAGAAGGAGGAGGAGGAGGAGGCGGATGGGGGAGGGAGGAGGGGGAGGAAGAGGGAGGAGGAGGAGGAGGAGGAGGAGGAGGGGAAGAGGAGGAAGAGGCGGGGAGGGAGGCGGGGGAGGAGGAGGAGAGGAGGAGGAGGAGGAGGGGAGGAGGAGGAGGAGAGGAAGAGGAGGAAGAGGAGGCGGGAGGGGGAGGAGGCGGAGGAGAGGAGGAGGAGGAGGAGGAGGAGGAGGAGGAGGAGGAGGAGAAGGAGGCGGAGGAGGAAGAGAGGAGGAGGAGGAGGAGGACGAGGAGGAAATGCGAGGAGGAGGAGAAGGAGCAGGAGGAGGAGGAGGAGCGTGGAGGAGGGGGAGGAGGAGGAGGAGGAGGAGAAGGAGGAGGAGGAGGAGGAGGAGGAGCAACGTGGATGAGGAGGAGGAGGAACCCTGGCTTGAGACGCGAGGCCGTGCGGGCCCCTGGCGCGCCCCTCCCCCCGGAGATGGGCGCGAGGCCCCGCGTCTCCAGCTGCGCGGTGCTGTTGACGATGCGGAGGACCTCTCCGCACGTGGGCCGCGCTTTCGCCCGCCCCTCTCTGGCCTCGAGGCCGCGGAAGAGCCGTGGGCCTCGCCCGCACCGGTCCCTCTGCCTACTCGCGGCTCCTCCTGCAGCTCCTCCTGCAGTTCCCCTCCCCTCTCCCTCCTCCTCCTCCTCTCCTACTCCTCTGCAGCTCCCCTCCTCCTCTCCTCCTCCTCATCCCCCCCTCCTCCTCCTCCTCCTCCTCCTCCTCTCTCTCGACCTCCTCCTCGCCCTCTATGCATCCTCCTCCTCCTCCTCCTCCTCATCCTCCTCCCTCCTCCTCCTCCTCCCTCCCCTCTCCTCCTCCTCCTCCACGCTCTTTCTCAGCTCCTCAGCTCCTCATCCTCCTCCCCTCCTCCTCCTCCTCCTCCGCCTCCTCCACCTCCTCCTCCTCCTCCCTCTCTCCCCTCCTCCTCCCATCCCGTTCCTCCTCCTACTCCTCCTCCTCCTCCTCTCCTTCCTACTTCTCGTTCTCGTCCTCGTCCTCCTCCCCCTCCTCCTCCGCATTCTCCTCTCCCTCCTCTTCCTCCTCCTCCTCTTCCTCCTACATCCTCCTCCTCCTTCTGCTCCTCCTCCTCCTCCGTCTCCTCCTCCTCGCTCCTCCTCCTCCATCCTCCTCCTTGCTCCTTCTCCTCCATCCTCCTACTTCCTTCTTCGCGCGCTGGGCCACGCTCTCCTCGCCGCTCGCTCTTCCGCCCATTCGTCTCTCGAGGATGTCCGCGGCAGGGCCGCCGCGGCCTGCACCACGGGAAGCTCGGGCAGAGCATGCGCCCGAGGATCCGCAGCCTTGAACGACCCTGCGGGCAAGATTTGTATCCATACCAGGGCGTGCGTCAAATAACGACCACGCAGGATCTAGCCGCCGAGCCATGCCTCCACCCCCTTGCACTTTTGCCGCTAACCTGGCGTCTCTGACAGCGCGGACAATCGCGGACATGCGGACTTCTTGGGGAAGGATTCGGGCGTCGCGCTCCTGTGCATTTGGTCAACATATCATCGCGCGCGCGCGGATGGTCGTTTATTTCGCACGCACCGGTATCCACCGCATTTGGGAGTTTCGGGATCCCCCCCGAAACCAGAGGTGCAGCGGATATGACCAACAGTCTGGCCTCTAGAGGCTCGGTGTTTCTCCATATCCACTGACGGCGCCTCGGCCTTTCGGCGCCCCTTCGCAGACGGTCCAAGACGCAGTGGATATGTGTAGAAATCTTCCCCGCAGACCCCCTATCATCTTTCATGTGTTTGGGGGGGCCAGAAGAATGGGGAGCGGATATCCCAACGGTCATATTCGCCGGGATGTCCACTCCCCATCACGGGCCTTTGATCTTGCATCCAAGAGCGCGCACACCAAAGTGTGAAACTGGCACAAGACAGTGGGAAGCGCGATTGCCCCGCCAATCACCTTACTCCTCACCCGAAGCGCAGCGAAGGCAGGAGCGACGGAAACAACGACCTTCCAGCCAACGTGGAGATGCCCACCCAATCTACCCCTGGCCGGTTCCTGAAACCCCGGATCCAAAACTGGGGGCGTATGTTTTGCTTCCACCAGTTTCCGCCAGCCTTCCGCCCGCTTCTGTCGAGATAATGATGTCAACGCTTCGATCGCTCGAAAGCGAGACCCCCTCTGGGGCGCCCCTCATAACCCTCGGCGGAGCCAGAGGTGGTGGGGGAGGGCCCTGCATCGAGGTGGAGGTGCAAGACGAAGCCAGGAAATGGGGGACAACATCGGACAGGGATGCATCGGGGATCTCTGAGACCCAGCGGGTCTTGAGGACGTATCCCGAGACATGCGACGTCCTGTTTTTTCAATGCGGGGTCCCTAGAAGTCCCAACCCCAGGGGCCAGTTCTTAATTCTGAGTCTTGTTTGACGGGCCCGAGACCCGGCGAGGGCCCCCAGGGGCCGAAAACGGCAAAAAAACAGCCCCGATCTGGTTGTTACGATGCGGTCATGTCTGGGTCGGGCGCCACTCTGAGAGCGTCCCGGAACGCTCTTTGGCGGCGCGCACAGGGGGAAGGCTTCTTAAAAGGAGGCTGATTCTTAGAAGGTGCCGGCCTCGCATCTATAGGTAATGCCAGGGCCTTCTAAGAAGCAGCCTCCTCCCATTCTCCCCCTCCCCTCACCCTCCCCCTAACCCTTACTACCCCTACCCCCCTCCCCCGACACCTACCCCCTTCCCTCCCCCTGAGCCCCCTCCCCCTATAGGTTCACTGTGAATACTGCTCGCCTCTCTCCGCTGAGTGCGGAAGATGGCCGGCACCCTCCGCGCACTGCGTTTTTTACACACAGGATTGCCGGGACTTTGGCTTTCACGTGTGTGTTTTGACCATCCGATTCGTTTCGGCCCTTCTGTTGTTCTCGCTGCAGCGCTGGCCCCATTTCTGCGCCTCTGCTCGTTCCGACTCGAGCTCCCGCTGCAGCGCTGCCCTCAATTCCGCGCTTCTGCTCGTTCCGAATCGAGCTCCCGCTGCAGCGCTGGCCTAATGTCCAATGCCATGCCATGGCATGCAATGCAATGGTGTGTTCCGCTGTGCGATGCAATGCCTTCGGCTGCAATGCTATGATGAGCAGTGCTTGACCACGCAGTGACACGCCATGATATGCCATGTTATGTCATGCTACGCGTTGATCTTCAACGCCATGTCATGCCATGTAAAGCTGTGCTATGCTATGCCATGTGAAACTGTGCTATGCTACGCCACCTACCAGACACAGCTCTTGAAGAACTGGTCCCGTCACTTTCCGCCGCGAAGTAACGGCCGAGCTCTGGAACGACGGGCCCTGCCCCAGCCCCTCCCGGTGGTGCAGGGGGGAGAGCGGGGCCGATGCCTCGTCCGGCAGGCTCGCGTAGGTGCAGTTGCCGGTGAACAGCGCCAGGGCCTCGGGGGCTGCGCGTCGGGGGCGTCCAACAGGGGGTCAACCCATATATGACCGCGTCGTAACAACAAGATCGGGGCGGGAGGCTTTTGGCCGTTCTCGGCGCCCCTGGGGGCCCTCGCCAGGCCTCGGGAAGGGTCGGGACTTCCAGGGACCCCGCATTGAACAAGTCAGGACGTCGCACGTCTGGCAACTTGTATTGGCTCAGGGCTCCCGGTTCGCATGAGATTTCCTCGCGATTTATAACATTGAAGTTGTAATGTTAACCAGTGAGGGCCCAAACCTGTGTGCAATCGGTGTGGGTCAACAGATGTTGTGTGAGATACGTTGTGCAATATACGTTGTGCCATATACATAATAAACATGCTTGTGATCTACGCTGCGCAATATACGCCGTGCGCTACACGTGGCGCATCATATGTATGTACATATGTACAGACACATCTATGACATGCAACATATATGGTGCAATATGTGCGCTGTGTTATAACTACACACATGTGTATATATATATATATGTGCGTATAGATGTGTGTCTGTACGCACGTGTGTGTGTGTGTGTGTGCATGTACGTCCGTATGCGTGCGAGTGTTTATGCATGTATGTACGCATGCAAGCATGCATGCATGTATGTATACGTGTATGTATGCAGGTACGTATGTATGTATGCATATGTGCGTGTATGTATGTGTGTGGGTATGCAAGATGGTCGCTTGTATGCCTAAATTTGGGAATGGATGTATGATTCTGCATATGTGTACATATACATGTATACATATATATATATATATACATACTAGAAACACGCGCGCGCTTAGGTTCTAGTCGACCCCGAAAACGGTGTCAATTTACCAGCGACGACCGACGACGACGACGACGACGACGACGACGACGACGACGACGACGACGACGACGACGACGACGGACCACCGACGATCAGCATCATTGTGACCTGGTCCACGTGTGCGGGAGAGGCGTTTCCGGAACGTCTTGCAGGCGTCATGGGGGCGTCCTCGGTCCTCGACATTGGGTGGGCGGGTCGGGGGGTGCAGCCAGGGCCACGTGTTCCGAAGGGCCGTTCCGGAGCATGGAGGACGAAGGGCTTCTGGCGGGCTTCTGAGGGTCTGTGTAGAGGCCTCTTGCGAGCTCGGTGGGGGTTTCTCGGGAGCTTCTCGGGTCTTTCTGGAGCCCTTTGGGGGACTTCTTGGGGCGTCGCGGAGGCCTCCTGGGAGTCTCTTGGGGCCTCCTGGGGGCCTCCTGGGGCAGAGGGCGCCTCTGTTCGGGCATTTGGGGGACTCTCTGGAGCCTCCTGGGAATGTCTTGGGCCAGCTTGGGAGCCTCTGGGAGGGTCCGGGGTCCGTTCTTAACACTGGAGCCCTCAAGGCCCCCCTGGCCCCCCATGCGAACCAGAGGTCGCAGTTCTGGGCCCATCCCGCCACCGTGTCTGGGTTGTGGGTCAAAGGCTTCTCGGATGTTCGCTGGGAGGATATCGTGGGATCCTCTCGGGGGGCCTTGTGGAAGCAGGTTTGAAGCCTCCACGGGGGCGTTGTGGAGCTTGTCGGAACTCTCTTCGGCATCTTTGGGGTCTCTTTGGAGGCGGGAAGCTCGAAAGGTCGGTTCGCGTTCCCTCTCTTGGGCCCATCTTGGAGCCATCTTTAGGCCCTCTTGGGCCGATCATGTGGCCCTCTTGGGCTGTCTTGGGGGCTCTCGGGGGCCTCTTGGGTCGACGGTGGAGGTTTCTTGGGCAGTCTTGGAGTGTCGGCCGCTCGAAAACGTGAGAAAGCAAATTGTCCTGGCGAAGGACCCAACCATATGAAGTTGTGGGCACCGCAGTTGTGAATATTTTCTTCGGTGAAGCTCCCTATGGGGTCAGCCACGAAGCGCTGCGCTGGGCGGGGGGGGGAACGCATGCGAGCGGTGGCACTGGGGCCGTCGATGAAACTCCCTATGAGGCCACGAAACGCTGCACTGAGTGGGTGGGTGAAGCTACCTACTTAGGCGTGTGGGACGCATGCGGGCGGTCCCAAAGGGGGTTTCGGTGGAGCTCCCCATGGGGCCGCGAAGCGTTGTAAATGGTGGGCGGAAATGCCAAATTGGGTGTGTGGGGGACGCATGCGGGCGGCCCCACTGGGGGCTGGGCCACGAAGCGCTGTACTGGGTCGGTGAAAATGCCAAATTGGGCGTGGGGGGCGCATGCGGGCGGTCCCACTGGAGGCTTCGGTGGAGCTCCCTGTGGGGGACGCATGCGGGCGGTACCACTGGGGGCTTCGGTGGAGCTCCCTATGGGGCCACCAAGCGCTGTACTGGGCGGGTGAAAATGCCAAGTTGGGCATGGTGGACGCATGCGGGCGGTCCCTTTGGGGGTTTCGGTGGAGTTCCCTATGGGACCACGGAGCGCTGTACTGGGTGGGCGAAAATGCCAAATCGTGTGCGGGGGACGCATGCGGACGGTCCCACTGGGGGCTTTGGGGGGTATCCGTATGGGGCCACGAAGCGTTGTACTGGGTGGGTGACAATGCCAAGTTGGGTGTGGGGGACGCGTGCGGGCGGTCCCACTGGGGGCTTCGGTGGGGCTCTCATTGGACCACGAAGCGCTGTACTGGGTAAGTGAAAATGCCAAATTGGAGGTGGGGGGCGCACGTGGGCGGTCCCACTGAGGGCTTCGGCGGGGCTCCCTATGGGGTCACGAAGCGCTGTACTGGGTATGTGAAAATGCCAAGTTGGGCGTGGGGGGCGCATGCGGGCGGTCCCAGTGGAACCTTCGGTGGAGCTCCCTATGGGGCCACGAAGCGCTGGACTTGGTGGGTGAACGTGCCAAATTGAATGTGTGGGGGCGCATGCGGGCGGTCCCACTGGGGGCTTCGGTGGATCTCCTTATTGGGCCACGAAACGCTGTACTGGGTGGGTGAAAATGCCAGCTTGGATGTGGGGGACGCATGTGGGCGGTACCACTGGGGGCTTCGGTGGAGCTCCCAATGGAGTCACGAAGCGCTGTACTGGGTGGGTGAAAATGCCAACTTGGGCGTGGGGGGCGCATGCGGGCGGTCCCTCTGGGGGCTTCGGCGAAGCTCCCTATGGAGCCCCGAATCGTTGTACTGGGTGGCTGAAAATGCCAAATTGGGCGTGGGGGACGCACGCGGGCGGTCCCACTGGGGGCTTCGGCGGAGCTCCCAATGGGGCCACGAAGCGCTGTAGTGGGTACGGGAAAATGCCAAATTAGGTACGGGACGCACGCGGACGGCCCCACTGAGGGGCTTCGGTGGAGCCCCATATGGGGCCACGAAGCGCTGTAGTGGGCGGGTGAAAATGCCAAATTTGGGGTGGGGGACGCGTGCGGGCGGTACCACTGGGGGCTTCGGTGGAGCTCCCCATGGGGCCACGAAACGCTGTACTGGGTATGGGAAACTGCCAAATTAGGTGTAGGGGAAGCATGCGGGCGGTACTACTGGGGGCTTCAGTGGAGCTCCCTATGGCGCCACGAAGCGTGTGAGGGATGTGCTGACATGGGTGTGGGGGACGCATGCGGGCGGTGGAGAGGAGGAGGGGAAAGCGGAGGAGAAGAGGAAAGGAACGCGGGGACCTTCTCTTCAAAACGAAGACCCAACACCACAAGATGGTTGGGAAAAACATAAGAAAACAAAACGGAAATCAACGATGTTGGCGATTTGGCGTTCTCTTGGAGGTCCTCGCGGAGCGACCTTGGGGCTTCTTGGGGCCTCTTGGGCCGATCATGGGGCCATCCTGGGCGGCTTGGAGCGCTCTTGGGCCGTCTTGGCGGCCTCTTGCCGTCTCCACGAGCCTAGGTGGACGCCTCGGGGAAGCGGAAAAAGTTCCGGGACTCCGAAAGCGGGCCTCTGGATGCCAAAAAAGGCCCTCGCAACGCAGGGAGCAAATTCGGTTACCGGGGGGGGGGGGGCGTTTGGGAAAAGTGTGCGACCCCGGGCCGCGAGGCCCCAGACGCCGCTCATAAAATACACTAGGTATGTGCAGGTGTATGTATGTATCTATGTGTGTATGTATGCATGTCAGCATGCATGTATGTATGTGTATATGTCTGTGGGTATGTAGATGTAGGTAGCTTTGTACGTATGTATGTATGTACGGTTGTACGGTTGTGTTCAATTGTGCATGCATGTATGCAGATACGTACGTATGTGTGTACATGTAGGTGTAGATGTAGGCGTAGCTGTATGTGTACAGGTAGATGCAAATGCATATATGTATGTGTATGCAAATGCAGATGTAGAGGTATATATATGTAAATATAGATGCAACTATAGATGCATATGTCTGACTTGTCTGGCAAAGCCAAAGCTCCTCCGGTGGATCTACTCGGCTACAGGGCGCGCGTGTGCATGTCTGCATGGTCTGGCGGAGCTCTTCTTGTGGAGCTATAGTGGAAACCTATCGTAAGACGGGCGGTAAGGACACAAAGGTCTTGGACGCCGAAGCTTGCACTTCTCAGAAAGCGGACTGCCAATGCCATGAAAAGGCTGGTCAGTGCGAAACCGCGACGGACGAGTCGCAGAGGCAAGGATGCGAAGGTGCGCTAAGGACACCCGTGCGTTCTTACTATGAGTTTTGACTGTACTCGGTCACTGGGCGCGCTGCCACTACAAAAAGCGTGCTCTGTTTTGCACGCAGCCTGATGTCTTCCTGAGGGAGCGGGTGTAATGCGCTCGACACATGATCTGTGCCAGGGCCAAGCTCGCAATACAGCTTGAACTGACTTCTCGTCCGAGCTCGACCAGCAAATCCACACACAAACACATACATACACACATACTTCAAGCCGGCGGCGCGGAGGGTCCTCAAGCGCGAGCAGCAGATGGAAGTGCTCATTGCGACCGAGCATTGCACACACACACGCACGCGCACACAAACACAACACAACATGCACCTCCTCACTCTGGACCTCCGCCGCCTTGGACCTGACCCACCTGCAGAAACAAACACCCCAGACCCCTTGGCTCGCGCGGAATCGAAAGCCAGGCTCCCCCGCCGTTCAAGCAAGAGGAACTAGACTGGGCCCGCCCCTGACCCACAGCTCCCCTTGGAGGCGGCAAGGGGGTCTGACCTGGTTGGGACCCCAGAGTTCGAGTAGGGGATCGACTACAGAACTGGCCATCGCTCGGACGTCCATTCCCTGTGCTTTTTGTCGGTTTCGTGCGTGGTTTTTTCGCCAAAAGATCAAGGATGCTCCTCGATGGTCCTCGCCGAACAAAAATGCACACCTCCGAGCGATGCCAAGAGAATTGATTTACCCCAACATTGATATTCCCGTCGAGCCAGTGAGAAAAATACGCAGCAGACAGAGAGAAAAATACGCAGCAGACAGAGTCAGTCGATCTACGGAGCAGTGTGGGCCTCCTCCTCCTCCTCCTCCTCCTCCTCCTCCTCCTCTCCTCTCTCCTCCTCCCCTCCTCCTCCTCCTCCTCTCCTCCTCCCCTCCTCCTCCTCCCCTCCCCCTCCTCCTCCTCCTCCCTCCTCCCTCCTCCCCCTCCTCCTCCCTCCCCCTCCCTCCTCCTCCTCCTCCTTCTCCTCGAATTTGGAGTAAGTCGATTCTGCAGTTGACCCCCAACTCGAAGAACATCGGCCAGGAGGGGGGGATGAGGCCATCTCCATTCAACATCTGCCCCTGGACCCCGTCCTGGGGTCCGCCTCGTGCAGCTTTTCGCCCTGGATCCGTTGCTGACGGTCCCGGGGGCCCGAAGACGGCCCTCGGATGCCGAGACGCGAAAAAAAACGCCTCTGCACCCAGAACCTCGAACCACCCTCTGGACCCCCAGACGGCCCCCCCCCCCCTACCCGCAGTCTCCGCTTTCGGGCTCGCCTCGCCTCGCCCCCGCCGCGGGGCAGGAGATGCCTCCCCCGCGGGCAGCCCCCCGCGGGGCCTTCCACTCCACGGGCACGTACGCCTCGGCGAGCGACGTGAAGTGGGCGAGGTTCTGCAGCTGTCCCGTCCGGAGGTTCACGTCCGAGTAGGGCAGCTGGGTCATGGGCTCTGCGGGGAGAGACTCCAGGGCTGCCTGCGGCCGGGGAGATGCTCGAGCGAGGAGGGGGGAGGGGATGAGTGATGGGGAACGGGAAGGCAGACCGAAGGCAACCCTGCCTGCCACGTTCTGGATAAAAGGAGGACTGGCGTGAGTTTGCCTCCTGCTTGCGCTTCGCTTTCCGCTCGCCTTTGTCTTGCCTTTAGCTGTCCCCACCCCCAAGCCTGCGACATGCCTGCCGTGGCTGGCTCTCCGCATGCCTGCGCTTGCCTTTCTGGGTTTGCTCTTGCTGTGCCCGTCTCGTGTTGTTCAAGACCGCTGCCTGCGGGGGTGTTCCTAGATCACCTGATTTCGCACATCGCGCGCCGCCATGCGCGACGCGCGACTATGCTCGAGCCTTCGCGCCGCATGGGTACCCTTTTTCCACTGCTGATCCCTCTCCCCCCACCTTCCCCTCCGCCTGGCCTTAGGTCGGGCATGTCCTCCGACAGGCGGATGTTGGCTTACATCTCAAAGATATTCAAAACATGCGCGACCCGAATGTTCAAACATGGCCCTACAATCGTCCCCTGACTATTACTTGACTATTTTTGAATCTCCCTCTTGAGGCGCCCCCCTCCCCAGAAACTGGGGGAAGGGGGAGGTGTTCTGCCCCCCCCCTCCCCAGTTCGAACCTGGAAGGGGGGGAAGGGACGGTTCCAGCCTCCTCCTCCTCCTCCTCCTCCTCCTCCTCCTCCTCCTCCTCCTCCTCCCCCTGGACCCTCTCTGGTTGCCTGCAGCCGCTCCTCCTCCGCGCCCTCCAGCGAGCTGCCCCCCAGGAGCTTGTGGAGCAGGCCGCCCATCACGCCAGGGTCGGGCTCGCCCTGGCAGCTCTGAGGGCTCGATGGGTTTCCAGGACATGCTGAAGATGCTGCTGATGATGCTGCTGATGATGATGACGACGATGATGACGATGATGCTGATGCTGATGATGATGTTGATGCTGATGATAATGCTGCTGCTGATGATGACGACGGTGATGATGATGATGATGATGATGATGATGATGATGATGATGATGATGACGATGACGATGGTGCTGATGATGATGATGCTGATGCTTGCTGATGATGACGACGATGATGACGATGATGCTGATGATCATGATGCTGATGCTGCTGCTGATGATGATGACGACGATGATGACGATGATGCTGATGATGATGATGCTGATGCTGATGCTGATGCTGCTGCTACTGCTGATGATGATGATGATGATGTTGATGACGATGATTGTGGTGATGGTGATGGTAATGATGATGACGATAATGACGGTTGTGGTGCTGATGATGCTGCTGATGGAGATTATGATACTGATGGCGATGATGACGGTTGTGATGATGCTGCTGATGATTATGATGCTGATTATGATGATGACGATGGTAATGATGGTACTGATGATGAAGAAGAAGGTGATGCTGCTGCTGCTGCTGCTGCTGATGATGATGATGATGATGATGATGATGATGATGATGGTGGCGGTGGTGATGATGCTGATGGTGATGATGATTGTGATAAGTAGATGGAGGAGGCTGAGGAGGAGGAGAAGGGGGCGGAGGGAAGAGGAGGAGGAGAAGGAGGAGGAGGAGGAGGAAGAGAAGGGGGAGGAAGACAAGGAAGAGGAGGAGGAAGATAAGCAGACGAGCAGGGGGCGCGGGAAGAGGAGCAGGAGCAGGAGGACGCTGACCGGGGGATGAGGAAGGAGAGACGGAGGAGGGATGCGGAGGAGGAAGAGGCGGAGGCGGACAAGGATGAGGAGACGTAGAAGGAAATCCCCCGGGGTTGAGGCGTCAGCCAAGCCTTATCATGATGATCATCCATGCTGGTATGATGTGTCTTCTCCGCCACATCCTCCACCCTCCTTATCCCTCCTTCCCACTTCCATCCGCTTCGCTCCTCCTCCTCCTCCTCTTCGTCCTTCCTTCATCCGGCCTCCTCCCCTTCCTTCTGCTCCCCACCTCCCCCTCCTCCTCCGTGTCGTTTCTCCTCCATCCTGCTCCCACCTCCCTCCTCTCCATCCTCCGGTCCTCCTGCTCTTCCCCCTCCCCACCATCGCCCCCTCCGAGAGGATTCATCGCCTCGCCCTCACACAGAACGAAGTGCGGAGGGATGGTAAAAGGAGAAGGGAGGCGGTGGTGCAACGGGCGTCGTGGATTACTCTGTTATTTGTCAGCCCTGGGTATTCGATTATCGCATACCTTGCTTGCTGTTCCCTGGATGTGCTTGCTGTCCAGCCCCCGAAAAGACTAGATGTCCAACTCATCGCAAACAAACAAGACACACTAGATTTTGAACACACCACGAACGTAGTACATCAGGTGCATACACATGTTAGCCAGCATGGACCCCAAACAGTGTATTTCTAGCAATAGATAACTCGCAACATATGTGGTGCAGTACATGTGCGTTGTGCAACCCATGTGGTGCAACACAATTGGCCCAATCTATGCTGTGCACTCTACATATGTGGTGCCATATCCGCCGACCCCCTCGTGGGGCCACCAGGCTGTAGGGCGAGGTTGCTGCTCCCTGCGCCAGTCGCGGTTTCAGGTCTCCAATGTTACCATCCTGCTGTCTGCTTCCTTCCGTACATTGTTGAAGTCCGCGCGAGGGGGGGGAGCTCCAAACCACCACAAGCTATAACGCCCGAATCGCGTGCTCTGCATTCCCGGGGGGGACGTGGGACACGTGCAGATGCCCCCGAGGCCATCATCCCTCGCATATATTTCGCAAGGTTTGCGCCCCCGAGTCTGCAAACCCTCGTGCATTGCACCATTCTCACGTCACCGAGGCCACAGCGATCCTTACGTCCCCGCACGGCGAACGCACCTGCGAGCCCTGACGAGGCCCCTCGTCCCGGGCAACTTGTCCGTCGCCGCCCCAGGGCCAAGGATTCCGCGCATTGTCGCACCTCTAGGTTTTGCCTCGCGCAGGAGGACCTCGATATCCGGAACTCGCTGAAGAGCAAGCACCTCGGAAGGCAGCCCCCTTTTCAAGCAACTCCCACAGGAGAGGTGTGAGCAGCGGCGAGCGCGCAATCCGTCCTGGGAACGATTCCCGCTGCTCCCAGCGCGGTCCACGAGGGGCGAGGAAAGCAGTGTGATCTGATGGATCATCGGGATTCGCGACGGGTCAACATGCCACAGACATTGGGTTCAAGTCGAGCAAATCGCGCGTGGGAAAGTCAACGTGCAATCGATCCAGTCGAAAACGTGAGGGAAGGGTTGGATAAGAGTGATGGGCAACCTTTTGGGCATAATCCGGCTGGTCTGCCTCGCATAACGGTTCAAACCTCGTGGGGAAAAGCTCGGCGAGGGGGCCAGACGACAGGGCATTGCTGCAGCCCGGGTCGAGGCGAAGTCGCGACGCACCTTCCCCGAAGGAGCTCCGATCCCCACCTGGCAGTGTCTTGCGATCGTGTCCCCCGCGAAGTGAGCCACGAAGCCGCCGCAGCTGCCCGCGACGAACCGATAGACGCAAGCCAAGGCCATTGCGAAGACTCACCGCGCGCCAGCGCCCATGCCGCCCACGCAGATCCGCACGGCGCAGACGCCTCTCCGCGACGAGCGTGCCTGGTTCAGCACGGCCACAACGCCGAGCAGGACGCTCATGAATCCTCATCACTACCTCGCCAGCCGTCTCCTCAGAAAGCACCTGCACAAAAGAAACACATCGAGAAATGCTCAAGAAGATCTTCGGGGCCCCAGCGAGTCTCCTGCATCGCTGTGATAGCATGCTGTTCCCCGAAGAATTGTTGGTTGCCCCCACATTGACAGGTTAGCACCACGTTTCGCCCAGCTGCAACCGAAGAGCGCGTGGACCTTCCACGCAGAGGTCGAGATCCGAAGAAGCGGGAAACAACGGGGAGCTGTGCAGATCCTGGCTAAGTGATGGTGGATGGGGGAGGGAGGAGCAGGGGGCAACTGCAACACAGAAGGTGGCAGCGGCGAAGACAGACCCGGCCGATCAGAACACCCTGGCGAAGACTGCACAGAAGCGGAACTGGAAGCCGAAGAACTGCATGAGCAGGTCGAGCACGAGGTGGTACCACGATGCCGAGGCAGCTGGGCCCCAAGTCGAGCGGCAGCCAAGACAGGAACATGTAACATGTTTGCTGACGGATTTTCTCGGGGCGCGTGCAGCTAGGGCCGCACATGGCAACGAAAGGCGGCCGCTCGTTCTGCGACAGAGTTGCACAGAAGTGTGGCCACCGCCCCCCCACCCCCCCACGGACCTAGTCTGATCGGCAGTTTCAACGATCTCCTGGGTCTTCGCCGCAGAGATGCCCCAGACCTCAGGGGCATTCTCGTTGGGTAAGAGCCTTGCCACATCAAGCCCACTGTGATCACAGAGAACTAGCTAACCGATGTCCTTGCCATCAAGGGCGTAGAAAAATCCGACGCGCCCATTCACTCCAAGCTTGTGTGATGTCAGTCCACTGCGGGGACTTCATCAGTTCAGCTTTGGCCTACGGCTAGATCTTCGCAGAAGATTAGGCCCTCAACCTCACGAGCAGAGGACGACCGCCACAGAACCAAATGTTCGTCGAAATATGATGTTTCTTGTCCAACCACTGACGCGCGTCGTTGTTGAAATACGCCTGAAACTGGGTAGCCTGCACGGTGCTCGCAAACTGCAGCTTGTATGCTTTGCCCGCGGCAGGCATGGAAACATGCGCCTCGTGCAAGTCGACCACGTATTTAGCCTTGGTCGAGTCGTGAGGCAACTGCCTCATAGCCGCAAACACCGCATGGGGCCAGGTGTCAAGCCAGCCAGAGCACGGGTCTTCAGCAGGCCCGTCAAGACGGGGGGAAACAGTGAACTGTTGATAGCGAGGCGCACGTGGACCACCAACAACGGACGCGGGGAGCACCACCTTCCGAATAAGTTCTGGCCGCCGCAGCCGCCGGGCCGTTGGTGCTAAACGCCGCTATCGGAGTACGAAATTCAGCCATCTCTCGTGCATGACTCCCGATTGTTTTCATGTCATACCGCAAAACATCCATGTCACCAGCCGAAGCTTCATGTGGTGCTCTGATAGCACCTATCTGCCCACGAGCTTCATTGACCATGATCGTGAGACAGTTCGAGTTGGCGGCCATCTTCGACAGCAAAACATCCTGCTGCTCCCCAAACTGCTTCGCCAGCGCAACACCAGTCTCCTCAAAATTCGTCGCATGGATGAAATCTGCATCAACACCATCATTCTCGACCTTCTCCGTGGGCGCCGCGGCATAACAACGCAGTATGCGACGGTGTGAGAGAGAAATAGAGAGAGACAGGGTTAGGAGGCAACTGCTAAGAAATTTTCGTCGGAAGGATTAAAGAGGATTAAGCCCCTTTGGGGGGCTGCTACGCTAGAGTGGGCCTCGGATTAAGCCGGATTAAGCGGGATTAAGCGGGACTGTGCCGAATTAAGCGGGATTAAGCGGAATTCAACCGGATTTCGGACCAGGGCAAAATCAGAATTTGACCTCCCAGGACTTGCATCCCAAAGAGGGAGAGAGAAAACAATTAGAGAGCAAAACACAGATGCGGAGTTGGGAGAGAGAAACAGAGAGAGAGAGAGAGAGGACGAGAGAAACCAAGTAGAGAGAAAAACAAATAGTATATAGAGAAAACAAATAGAGAGGACGGGAGAAAACAAACATTGAGAGAACAGCAGATGTCCGCCTGGGCCCGGCGCCCAGGCAGGCCCCGTCGCGCGGGGCCGCCCGCTCGAAAGCGTGTGAGGATACCTCCCACGATCCCTGCATACTTTAGCCAAAAATGGCAGCGGAGGAGGTGGAGGAGAAGGAGAAGGAGGAGGAGGACAAAGCACAAAGGAGGAGGAGGAGGAGGAGGAGGAGGAGGAGGGAGGAGGAAAAAGGAGGAGGAGGAGGAAAAAGGAGGAGTAGGAAAAAGGAGGAGGAGGAGCAGGAGGAGGAGGAGGAGGAGCAGGAGCAGGAGGAGGAGGAGGAGGAGAAGCGGCCCTCCTTCTCCTCTTCGGTCAGCGTCTCCGTGGCCGGCTCGGGCTGGCTGTACGCCACCGCCAGCCTCCAGGAGGCAAATCGGAATCGGACCGAGCCTCCCGGGAGACCCCACAAGGGCGAAAACGAGGGCAGGGCAGCGTTTTGGGCATGTTTTCCTCATCAGAGCCCCCGCTCCCTGGAGATCCGAGGTACTCAGCGGCAAAATCTGCAACATCGTAAAACATGACGCCCGGAGCCCCAGATCACATCTTTCTGCGTCACGTTTCGAGCCGGATCGATCTGTGAGGGTCCCGGGGCCCGAACAAAACAGCGAAAACGCCTGGCTCGAACAAATCGAAGCGCCAGGATCTCAGGGTCCCAACGACCCCGCGGTCCAAGAGGTACCGACGACCGCTTCCCTGGCGGCAGTTTGCGCGCCACGGGCCCGTTCCCAGATCCCCGACGTCGCGATTTCTTCGCAACGTCGACCCCGAGAGGTCTGGACCCCTTCCCCAGGACTGGTTTCTCATCTTGAATCGTTCTTTGACGGTCCCGCGGCCCGGTAAGGGCCCCCGGAGCCGCAAATAGCGAAAAGCTTCCCGTCGTGATTTTGGGCCCCCAGAAACCGAAAATAACGAAAAACTTCCCGTCGTGATTTTTCACAGCGCGAGGGGGTCTGGGGGGAGGAGGAGGAGGAGGAGGAGGAGGAGGAGGAGGAGGAGGAGGAGGAGGAGGAGGAGGAGGAGGAGGAGGAGGGTGGAGGAGGAGGAGGAGGAATAGGAGAGGAGGAAGGCGGAGAAGAGGAGGGGGGAGAGGTGAAGGATGAGGAGGAGGCCGAGGAGAGGAGGAGAGAGTAGGAAGAGAAGATAGAGGATGGGAGGAGATGAGGAGGAGAGGAGGGAGGAAATGAGGAAGTGAGGAGGAGTAGGAGGAGGAGGAGGGGGAGAGCTGAAGAGGAGGAGGAGGCGGAGGAGGAAAGGAGAGGAGTAGAAAGAGGAGGAGGAGGAGGAGGAAAGGAGGAGGAGGAGGAGGAGAAAACCTGGCGCCGTGCTTTTTTGTCACACCGCGGGGGGGCCGGGGTTCTCGACGGTGCCCGGGCCCGACGGCGGCAGCGGCCCCTGGCCAGCCCTCTAGGGAGGCCGCCCCACGACCAGCGGCTCCTCCTGTGCCCGCCGCCAGGGCATCGATGGGGGATCGAGGAGGAGGAGGAGGAGGAGGAGGAGGAGGAGGAGGATCGAGGAGGGGGATCGAGGAGGAGGAGGAGGAGTGGAGGGAGGAGGAGGAGGAGGATCGAGGAGGGGGATCGAGGAGGGGATCGAGGAGGGGAGGGACCGAAGAGGGGGGATCGAGGAGGGGGGTCGAGGACGAGAAGAAGGAGGGGGGAGGATCGAGGAGGGGGTCTGAGGTAGGAGGATCAAAGAAGGGGGTTCGAGGAGGGGGGGGGATCCGAGAGGAAGGAGGAGGATTGAGGAGGGGGAATCGAGGAGGAGGAAGAGAGGAGGAGGAGGATCGAGGGGCAGGATCGAGGAGGGGGGTCGAGGAGGAGGATCGAGGAGCAGCTCCCAGAGGCTCAGAGCACCCGTGCCGTCGGAGAGCCGGGCCCCCCGCGCCCCGAGAGAGAGGGGGGGCGCCTCCCCGCGAGGTCCTCCGCCTTGGCCAGCAGGCCCCTCCTCCCGCTGAGGCCGTAGGCGGCCACCAGCCCCCCGAGGTGGCGGATGGACGTCTCGAAGAGGTTCACGTTCTCGTCCTCGGGGCGCCCACCCCTGGAGCTCCTGCCCCTCCTCCTGCCCCTCCTCCTGCCCCTCCTCCTCCCCCTCCTCCTTCTCCTCCTCCTCCTCCTCCTCCTCCTCCCCCTCCTCCTCCTCCCTCCTCCCTGCCTCCTCCACCTCCTCATCCTCCTCCTCTCCTCCCCTCCTCCTCCTCCTCCTCTCCACCTCCTCCTCCTCCTCCTCCTCCTCCTCCTCCCTCCTTCCTCCTCCTCCTGCCACCTCCTCCTCCTCCGTCCTCCTCCTTCCTCCTACCTCCTCCTCCTCCTCCTCCATCCTCCTCCCCCCTCTCTGCCCCCTCCTTCCTCCTCCCCCTCCTCCTCCTCCTCCTCCTCCTCCTCCTCCTTCTTCTTCTTCCCGCCCAGCGCTGTCGCTCTCTTGCGGGCCCCGCGGGGACCTCGCACATGCTGCTCTTGCTCGAAACATGGGGCAGGAAGGCGTGGTCCAGGGCTCCGGGCGTGATTCTGGCGATTTTGCAGCTTTTTGACAGCTTGTGGCTGGGTGCGGGTCGTCCTAGCTGTCCTTTCTGCCGGCAGCCCACCCTTCCTGTCTGCGTAGTCTGCTGAAACGACTCTGCCCTGTCAAAAGTCGGTGCTGGAACCCACGCCGTGGGCTGCTTGAACCATTGTCTATGGTAGAAATTGGGTGTTGGAGCCCACCCTTCTTGACGGCATCATCTGCTGGAACCACCTTCCCTCATGATGCATTGGGCGCTGAAACCAACGACGTGGGCTGCACTTTCCCTCGTAACTATTGGGTGCTTAGGCCCACCCTTCTTGACGGCATAATCTGCTGGAACGACCTTCACTCCTTAGAAATCGCGCTGGAACTACACCCCGCTGAGGGCCTCAAACGCATAAATCAGGTCGGGAGGGGTACGGGGCCCAGGGGTGGGTGTCCTAGCATTGTAGCCACGCCTCGCTCTCAAACGGGGGCAGTGCGTGCGCGCGTACATGCGCGCGCGCGAGCGCAAGCCCGGGCGCGAGCGCGAGCCCGACATCGAGCCCGACACCGAGCCCGAGTGCGAGCTGGAGACCGAGCCCGAAACCGAGCTCCATCCTGAGCGCGTGCGCGCGCCTGCGCACGCGTGCGCGTACGCGCGCGTGCGTGTGCGTGCGCACGCGCTTTCGGTATGTTAACATGCTGTCAAACATTCACTACCAACAATGTCCACCTGACTACAGATGGGATCGGATGAGATGGGGTCGGAGAATCGCGCCGCATTGCCGATGCATCGGCGATGCACCGGCTAGTCGGCGATGCATCGGCGCCGTCGGCGTGGAGAGAAACAGGCTCCACATCGAGCCGCCTGGCCAATGCATCGGCGATGCGGCGCGATCCTGCGACCCCATCTAGGAGGCCTAGAGATCTCCCGGGATCAGACTTCTTCGGCCCCAGACCCCCGACGACGTGATTTGTTTCACAACGTCGACCCCCAGAGGTTTGGACCACTTCCCCAGGACCAGTTTTCCGTCCTGAGTCGTTGTTTGACGGCCCCGAGGCCCGGTAAGGGCCCCCAAAGGCCTAATATAGCGAAAAGCCTCCCGTCGTGATTTTTTCACAGCGCGAGGGGTCTGGGTTCGGAGATGCGAGCGGACAGGAGGGTATCCCCCTTGCGACACAGAATCCTCGAGCCGATTCTCATGCACACATGCTTTTTGGAGCTAGGATGGGGTAGGAGGGTAATTAGGAACATCGTTGTTGTCGTCCGAAGCCGTCGTGATTTTTCCACAGCGCGAGGGGGTATGGGGAGCGTGTGGGGAAGTGGCCGGGGCAATGTTGCCCGTGCGCGTGTGTGCGCTGATCGTCTCCCCCAATTTTCAGGGTTTTCGTCTATACCCCCCACTTCCCATACGTTCCCATCATGTCGTGGGAACCGACGATTCATGGTGCCTGTGTGTTCCGTCCCTCCTGAAAGCTTCAGGAAGTCATCAGCGAGAGCACGCTTTTGAAAAGCGCAGCCCTCCGTTCGCGGCAGTGCTGCACACTGCTAGTAGATCGTCTGGCCACAGGAAGACGGAAGTCCCAAGCATAAGAGCACGATATTGAAGAGGAGCCGCCCTCCTTCCGTGTTGCTGTTGCACACGCCACGTGAGAACCCCTGGTCTTCAAAGCTCAAGCAGTCTCACGCGACAGCCCCAGAGCCCCGACTCTTCTTTTCCCACCTATCTGCTCGAAGACTATGTGTCCAAGGGGGATGCTCTCGACACAATATGAGGCTGCTGTGCACCGGCTTAGTTTTTTGCGTGGCGCTCCCTTGGGAAGTTCTCTGGGCGATCGCGCTCCTTCACGCCTGCCACTCTGAGCCAACCGGCTTCGGACGACAACAACGATGTTCCTAATTACCCTCCTACCCCATCCTAGCTCCAAAAAGTACGTGTGCATGAGAATCGGCTCGAAGATTCTGTGTCCAAGGGGGATACACTCCTGTCCGCTCGCATCTCCGAACCCAGACCCCTCGCGCTGTGAAAAAATCACGACGGGAAGCTTTTCGCTATGTTCGGCCTCCGGGGGCCCCTCCTGGGCCTCGGGGCCGTCAAACAACGACTCAGGAAGGACAACTGGTCCCGGGGAAGTGGTCCAGACCTCTGGGGGTCGACGTTGTGAAAAAATCACGTCGTCGGGGGTCTGGGAAGCGGATCTCTGAGACGGACCCCAGAACTGCGCGTTGCTGAAGACACGCGGGCAAATCGCACAGCCAAGTATCATGCCTACACGTGGCGTGGCACTCACCCTCCACGGAGGGCGCAGAGGAGAACACGGATGAGCAGGAGAATGAGGAGGAGGAGGAGGAGAGCAAACATTTCGCACCTGGAGACTACAACGCCTGATCATCGATTGACCCAGATGGGGTACGTTCCGACAGGCACATGCGATGAGAACTATGTTTTACAAGGCAGCATGGAGGCCACTTCGTGAAATGTATTCACCATCAAATAATAAGCACGTGTACTGCCCTCGAGAGCTGGCAAGACACAAGTGCCTCGCTGTCACTCCGCAGAGCGTGATCCCACAATGGGTAGCGTGCAGTCTCCCCGATGAGGACCGAGAACGGGTTATAAGAAATACGAGGCACGCTTGTCGAACGGGGGTAAAAAAATTTTTCTTTAACCCCTTGACATCACCATGGGTTCCCAAGGAGCGCTGTTTGATGGAGATGGTTCACATGGGCCTAGCGGACAATACCCAGCTTCTGATAGGCGCGGAGCCGGTCCCGGGACACCTGCAGGCAGGCTGGCTCAGCGCCAAGGTATCGCGCAGGCATCAGATGCTCGAACACACGAACTTTGAGGGCTCTCTCCTCCTCCTCCTCCTCCTCCTCCTCCTCCTCCTCCCCCCCCTCCCCCTCCTCCTCCTCCCCCCCCTCCCCCTCCTCCTCCTCCTCCTCCTCCTCCTCCTCCTCCTCCTTCTCCTCCTCCTCCCCCAGGCAGGCGGAGCTCGCAGGCGCAGGCAGCCAGAGCTCGACCCACAAGAAGCCCTCCACGAGAGACCCAACCTCAGGTTGGGCATGTCTCCCTACAGGCAGATCTCGAAGGAACGATACACAACAGTCAAACACTACGAAACATGGTTTCAACGGTACATAATCGAACAATCGTCCCCAGACTACTGTTTGATTATTTCGGAGCATTCCTCCTGTAGAAGGACATGCCCGATTTCAAACCAAACCCTGAGGCCCCGGGACGTCCACCGACTCCGCACAGGTGCCAGCCCCTCCGATGGGTCCTCGGTTCTGCCCCCTCCCCTGACGTCCTGCCCAGGGCCACGACTCGCTGAGCTCTCGCCCGAACTCTCCCCCCCCTGTCTCGAGCAGGGACCGACAGTCCCAGCATTCCTATAGGCCTACCACGTCATGTTCTCAGAACCCACAGATGATCCAATAACAAGCATGCACGGTCTTCAGAACAGAAAATCGACGTGTTAAAACCGGACCGTCTCAGCCAGAAAGGTTCTGAGAACATTTCGTGCAGACCACAAAAGGTTCTTAGAACATTCTCTGGTGGGCCTATAGCCGAGCTGAGACGCTTCGTCACTGTTTGACTTTCCCTGCTCGCCAGCCCCAGCTGCAACATCGCCGATACCACGGGCTGGCAAACAAGCGGCATCGGCCCCTGGCCCAAACCTCCCCGCCCCACCCCGCATCCCATCTGTAGAAGAACAATAAGACGGCATGAACATGAACTTTTGAAGGTCCGCGCGAGTTTCCTGGATCGGCGCTGGACCCCCCAGGGGGACCCCAACGCAGGTCCAAGAACTCCGCGCGGAGCGCCCAAAGTTTCTGTGTATGCCTTTTTGTTGCGTTCTTTGATCAACCTCCCCGCCCCACCCCGAATCCCATCTGCCCATCTCCCAACTCAGGCGAGGGAAAAGTGAGCCTCCTCCTCCTCCACCTCCACCTCCTCCTCCTCCTTCCTCCTCCCTCCTCCCTCCTCCCTCCCAGGCAGAGTTGCACGTACAGCCACTCTCTGTCGGTACTGCCCAGCAGTACAAGAATGATCAAGGTGCGAGTTTTGTTATCGTGCAGTTTCGTTGCTGCTCACTTCTCGGCTTTCTGACAGGAAAAGAGTATGCTCTTTCAGTGCTCAGACAAGGCGAAGATAATTGCGCCTCGCCCTGTCTTGCTCGGTGCTAGGGTGCGAAGATGGACAGCACGCTCGTGCGTCGCACTCGTGCTGCCGCCCCGTTGGCCAATGCCTCAGGGGATACGCATCATCGCTTGCAGGACCGCCCACCTGCTCCCTGTGCCTTGCTTTTGTACAGTACTGACCACGGTTTAACAACCTGTGCGATTTAAGGGTGGGAGGATACTATGTGGGGGGGGTGAACTGCTGTCCTTGCGTCCTTGGTGCCCGTGCAGAAGTTTGTAGTCTGACGAATATTATGCTAGCTGCAGCGCCACACAGTCTCGACAAGCCGTATGCTTCAGCGAGGAGCCGATCCAAAAAAAAATCCTCCTCCCTCCTCCCTCCTCCTCCTCCTCCTCCTCCTCCTCCTCCTCCAGCCTTCTCCTTCCCTCCTCCCCCACCCCTCCTCCTCCACCTCCACCTCCTCGCTCCTCCTCCTCTCCTCCACCTCTCCTCCTCCTCCACCACCTCCTCCCATGGGAGGCCAACCCGAAGACGACGGCAGCTCTCCACCCAGACCGCGCCGGGCGGCGCGGTGGAAGTCCTCCCGGAGGCCCATCAGCCACAGAGTGTCCAGGGCCTCGGGTGGACGCGCCGGGTCGGACCGACCAGGCAGCCCCGTGCCCGATTTGAAGACGAAGCCAAGACGGGGATACATCCAGGCGAGAGAATCTCTGAGATCAGGCGGCTCTGGAGCATGTCTCAGGCGCCGCAGCCCTCTCGGAGCGTTCCAGAACGCCCCGAACTGGATCTGCCCTCGTCCTGGCCCCGCCCGACCGTGCCCGATCTGCCACCGGGGCCGCGCTCCTGGTCGACGCAGGCGGCCCGGATCGCAGGAGGGGAAGGGGGATGGAAGGGGGATGACCCTGAGTGACTACCTACCAGACCACCCCAACCCAACCCGAAGACCCGAATCTCGGGTTGGGGGGGATACGGGTTCCATATGTATTCTGCCATGTTCCCCGACCCCCCCCCCACTGGAAATGGAGGGCAAATCGGGGCCTTCGGGTTGGGTTGGGGTGGGTTGGTGGGTGGTGACTGAGATCCTGGCGTCTCAATTTTTTTCGAGCTGGGCGTTTTCGCCTTCTCTCGGGCCCCGGGGCCCTCACAGATCGGTCCGTGTCGAAGATGACGTCGAAGGATAGGGTCCAGGGGTTCTGGGCGTGACTTTTCTGCGGTGCTGCATTTTTTTTGCAACGTCGGATCTCAGCGGATGAGGAGCACGCCCCTGGTTTCCGCACTGCGACCAGGGCGATCGGGGGACCTCCGCAGATGAGGGCCTGTGGCGAGCTATGCCCACGGCGTCCACTAACGTCTGCCCGAGGCCACCCCAGCTGCGGCGGGCGCGCGGTTGCCGCTGCTGCCGCCGCTGCGAGCATCACCCCCCCCACCCCCTCCCTCGTTTGAACCCCCCCGTCCTAGCTGGCGATGTTCACACGATGGGGACGGCCACGAACGCAGGACTCGCAGAAGCGACTGCGCAGCAGTGGCGGCAGTGGGCACTTGATGATGAGAGAGCGAGACCAGAGCAACACCAAAGGATAGGGGAACAAAAAGTGGCATAAACATACCAACTCGGAGGTCCGCGCGGATTTCTCGGATCGGCGCTGGGGCCCCCCGGCGGCGCCTCCGGCGGCGCCCCTGGCGCGCTCCGCGCTCCAGGGAGGGGGGTCCAGCGCCGATCCGAGAAATCCGCGCGAACCTCCAAGTTTTCATGTTCATGCCACTTTTTGTTCCCCCAAACCCAGACCCCCGACGTCGTGATTTTTTCACAACGTCGACCCCCAGTGGTCTGGACCCCTTCCCCAGGCTCGGTTTCTCATCCTGAGTCGTTTTTTGACGGTCCCGAGGCCCGGCGAGGGCTCCCAGAGGCCGAAAATAGTGAAAAACCTCCCGTCGTGATTTTTCAAAACGCGAGGGGGTCTGGGAAGGAGGGGGGTGGGAGCAGGGGAAAGATGGGACGCCTGACCGCGCTGCGGCGGCCCAGCGTGGGGCCGGCGGCCTACACGCCTGGACCCGCGCCACGGGGCGGGCTGCGGCGCTGGAGGCCAGCCACTGGCCGCCCGGGAGCCCAACGATTGGGCCTGCCGGCTTCCCACGCGTCCCGGGGAGCGGCTCGCACAGCCCTCTGGATCCCTCATCCTGTACACGGATGCCCTGGACGCCGACTGTGTAGTTCGCCACGGTGGTCGGCTACCCAGGAGGGCAGGGCTCCTCCACTTCTCTATATCTTCCCCCTCCCCCTGTTGCGCTTCCATCTCCTCCTCGTCGTGGCCCTTTCCCGTTTCCTCCTCCATCATAGCAACCTCGCTCCGACCCCTGTCCCCTGTCCCTCACCCTCCACCTTCCGCACCTTCCGCGCGGCAGGTTCCACGCCGCGGCGGCCGCCGCCGCGGCCGCCATTGCTGCTTCCGCCGAGGCCGCAGAGGAGGTTTCGGCGGCGGCGGCGTCCGCCGCGGCGCGGCACCCTGCCGCGCGGAAGGTGCGGAAGGTGGAGGGCGGGGGGTCCCTCGCTCCTCCATCATAGCAACCTCGCTCCGACCCCTGCTGCTCCCCGGACCTCTCACGGGGTGCGTTCAGGCCAGAACTTCGGGGCGAGTCCGGCCGTGGCGACGAGGGCCTGCCAGGGGGCCCAAAAGGGCGAACACGATGGATGGGTATAGCGGTAATTATCGGCACCTCTTCCTCCCCGACATTCCTCCCCCTCCCCGAGCTCCTCTTCCTCCCCCGACCCTCCCCCCCCCTTCTCCCAGACCCCCGACGTCGCGATCTTTTCACAACGTCAACCCCCAGAGGGCTGGACCCCTTTCCAGGGACCTGCTTTTCATCCTGAATCGTTCCTTAACGGTCCCGAGGCCCGGCAAGGGCCCCAAAGGCCGAAACTGGCGAAAAACCTCCCGTCGTGATTCTGTCACAACGCGAGGGGGTCTGGGGGAGGAAGAGGAGGAGGAGGAGGAGGAGGAGGAGGAGGAGGAGGAGGAGGAGGAGGAGGAGGAGGAGGCGGAGGAGGAGGAGGAGGAGGAGGAGGAGAAAGAGGAGGAGGGCGAAGAGAAGGAGAAGGAGAGGAGGAGAAACATCTCGCGTCGTGCTTCTGCTCGCCGCGAGGGAGGGGGCCATGGCCCCCCCCCGACCACGAGCTTCGGGGGCCGCCTCCCTCGCCCCCACGCGCCCGCGGCCGGCGCGTGCGCCTACCACGCCCGTCGCCCTAGACGGGCCGGAAGCGAGGTCCGTGCCCAGCCTCGCGCCATGTAGTTGGACCCCACGAGCCTGCGAGGCCATCTCCCTCCCTCCCTCCCCTCTCCCTCCCACACCCTCCTCCTCCTCCTCCTCCTCCTCCTCCTCCTCCTCCTCCTCCTTCTCCTCCTCCCGCCCGCGCCAGGGGGGGGGCACCCGCCCCGCAGCCGGAGCGCCGGGTCCACGAACCCAGTGAGGGTACCCCCCCAACAAAACAAACAGAAACCTGTGAGGGCACCAACAAAACCAACAATCATTGGTTTTCGTGCCTTCGGACTTTCTGTGGGCCCCTCCAGCCCAGATCCACACCGAGAAAAAAAGAAACCCATACAACCAGACACAACCACGTAATGAGAGATCCATGCAATCAAAAACAATACGAAGACCATACAGTCAAAAACAATAAGACATCCGTACAATCCAAAAACAATAAGAAAACGTCTTGGGTCCACGAACCCAGTGACGGTACCAAACAAAACAAAAACACCTGCGAGGAACAAACAAAAAACAACAATCAAGGGTTTTCGTGTCTTCAGGCTGTCTGGGCGGATCTTGGCGGGAGGGGCCCAGAGAAAGTCCGAAGGCACGAAAACCATGGACGTTTGTTTTGTTTGGTATCTCCCAGGTTTTGGGGGTTACCCTCACAGGTTTCGTGGACCCAAGGCTTGTGCGGATGTCTTGCTGTTTTCGTCTGTGCTGATGTTATATCTCTTTTTGATTTTACGGGTTTCATATTGCTCTTGATTGTATGGATTTCTTGTTGTGTTTGATTGTGTGGATGTCTTATTGTCTTTAAGTGTACGGATGCCTTACTGTGTTGATTGTGCGGAGGAGAAGGGAGATACGGAGGAGGATAAAAACGATAAGGAACACGATGACGATCATGAAAAAACTATGATGATGATGATGATGATGATGATGGTGATGGTGGTGATGGTGGTGGTGACGATGATAATGATGGCGATGCTGATGCTGATGCTGATGCTGCTGATGATGAAGATGTTGATGCTGATGCTGATGATGATGTTGATGATGATGACGATGATGATGCTGATGCTGCTGCTGCTGCTGCTGCTGCTGCTGATGATGATGATGATGATGATGATGATGATGATGATGATAATGAGAAACACCTCACGCCACTTAGTCTTAAATGTGCCCTTTTCCGGGGGGGGACCTCCAGTGGTCTGGACTCCTCTCCCAGGACCCGTTTTTCATGCTGAGTCGTCTTTTGACGGTCCCGAGGCCCAGGACGGGCCCCCGGAGGCCGAAAATAGCGAAAAACCTCTCGTCGTGATTTTTGTTTAGGGGGTCTGAGTCCCCTGCCGTTGCCTCCCGGCTTTCGGGTCACAGCTCGGCTCTCTGGCGGCCGTCTGGCACCCCCGACGGCGCTCTCGGCGATGGGGCAGCTGCGGGAGAGCACCCCGAGGCTGGAGAGCCTCCGAGAACCTGCAAGAGCACCACGGAGGCCTCCGAGGCCTCCGGAGGCCTCCGGAGGTCCTTCGTCCACATTACGATCGTTTTCTCGCCGCCGTTTCTGGTGGGGCCTAAGGTGTGCTCTGGTGGGGTGTAAGACCGTGCTTTGCACCGACATCTTGCCTCACCCTCCACACCTGCCAACCTGCAAGAGCACCCGAAAACCTCGAGCGAGCGATTGGGCGATTGGGGGTCGACGTGGCAGGTTCCGGAAGCCCAGAGCTTCTCGCGATGTGAAAAATCACGACGGGAGGTATTTTCTTGTTATTTTCGGCCTCCGGGGGCCCTTACCAGGCCCCGGGACCGTCAAAAAACGACTCGGGATGAAAAACTGGTCCCAGGGAAGGGGTCCAGACCACTGGGGGCCGACGTTGGGAAAAAATCACGACGTCGGGGGCCTGGGAACCTCGAACCCATACATGCTGTCATCTCTGGGAAGGTCTCGCTTCCGCCGCCATCCGCCGAGCTTCCGCCGGCTTCCGCCCGCGGAGCCGCCGCCGCTCTACTTCCGCCGCCTTCCGCCGACCTTCCGCCGCGGAAGAGATGGCAGCTCCTTCGATCCTAGAAGGCGAGGCCCTTTCTGCTGAAATGCCTCATGTGTGCCCCCCTGAGCCCATCCCCGCCTGACGCTGCCAATGATCAGGGGCAAAAGGTCGACCTCTGGACTTCTCCCAGGCTGCGTTGTGACCAGAATTTCGAAGCGGATCCAGCCGTGGCCAGGAGGGTGTCACAGGACGCCGAAAATCTCGCATAGCCCCGCTCTATCAGGAAGGCGTCGTGCGCGAATCTGTGCCCAAAGGTCAGCCCGAGTGTGACTCAAGCTGGCGCCCGAAGTTTGCTGGCCGCGCCCGAATGTAACCGAAATACTTGCTTCGAAACCAAGACGATCTTCAAATTCGGTCACAGCTCCGGCCACAATACGTTCTCGGTCACGACTTCGGGCATGTGTTCGGTCGCCGATGTTCGTTCGGCCACCTACCTTTTCGGCTGATAGGGGCTGGGCACCTCGATCCTCGATCCCTCGATCCTTGATTCCTGGCGCTGCCTCGAAGGAAGATTCTCGATTCTCGAAGGGTGGTCCAGGAAGCGAACCTCGATCCTCGATCCAAGGCCGCACCGACGGCCATGTTGGTTAACGGCGCTGTTGGGAATCTGATTTTTGTGACATGCACCGAGCTCGCGCAGGGCAAACTGCAGGACATCACGAACCACACTCTCCTGCACTTCAGATCTGCCGGTGTGCCGAGCGCAGACGACGCAGCGAGCTGCAGGAAAGCACGAACCACGACGTCCCACAATTGTCGGGCGTTGGCAGAACTGGGTTTAGTGGAACCTGGTTTAGTGATTTGTACCGGGGGCGCCCCCCCGCCCCATTTCCACTAACCAGAACTGCCGTCACCCGAAAAACACCGGGTACGGCAAGCCTGGTTTAGTGACTCTGGCCAGTTCAGGGGCCGCAGGGCCCTACCACTAACCGGGTCCCCTTACTCGGGGTCCTGGCCATATAAAACAAGGCTAGGATCGGGATAAATCGCTCCAGAGCGTTCCGGAGCGCTCTCAGAGCGTTCCGGAACGCTCTGGAGCGGCCGCGGCGCCCAATACATCCTCCAAACCCGCCGATTCTCAGAGATTTCGAATTATCCCGATTCGATTTTGTCCCGATCTTCGCGTCGTTTTACCGAAGCCGGCATCGCCGTTGCCCGCACTGCCGTCGGCGCGGCCGCGGTCGAGCCCCGGCGCCGCCCCCGACATCCGGGGCCGACGCCACGGGCCGGCTCGATCGCGCGCAGCGGATCCCCCGAGCCCTGCGGGTCGGCCCGCGCCCCGCGGCGCCCTGCCTGCCTCTTCCTCCTCCTCCTCCTCCTCCTCCTCCTCCCCTCCTCTCCTCCTCCTCCTCCTCCTCCTCCTCTCTCTCCTCCTGCTCCTCCTCCTCCTCCTAATCTGTCTCCTTCTCCTCCTCTTCCCCCCTCCCCCAGCAGCACCTCCCTCGCAGCAGCTCCCTCGCAGCTCCTGTAGGGGGACAGGGCGCCCACCCAGGGCACACTCTGGGTTTTGGGCTTCTGAATAAGCGTGGGGGGGGGTGCCCCCCCGTACAGTCAAAAACCCTAATAAGGACGCGCGACTTTGCTCAGGGTACCCTTGCGTCCTTGCGCTTCCTTGCTCTTGCGTCCGCCGCCCCAGAAATCCCAACTTCGGCTTCCAAGGGTCTTGCGTCCTTACCGCGCGTCCTTCTTAGGGTTTTTTGACTGTACGGGGGTCGACCTCGCCTGGTCGTCGCGCCGCGACGGGGGTCGGAGCGCCGTCGGCGCGCGGTGGATGCCCGCGACGGGGGTCGATGTGGGGCTGTCGGCGGGGATGGCGCCCCCCCGACGCTGATTCAGGAACTCGGAGTAGCCCTCTGCCTGCCATAGCGCGGCTTTGGTCTACCTCTGGCGGGGGGAGGGACAAGCGTCGCGTCCGTTCGCCGTTGTGCCTCGGGCGGGACCTCGGTCGCAGTTAGCTTCCCCCCCCACCACCCTCGGGGGGGGGTTTGGTACCCATGTGCTTCGGTCGGCGCCTTGTTGCGCCAACCGCCTGCGTCGGTCGACGTGGCGGATTGGCGCTTCGGCTCAGCGTCGGTTGACGCGGCTGATTGCGATTCAGCCTGGGGGCGTTCGGCCGCGGCCACTCGCACGGCCTTGGCTCCACTGGCCGACTTACCCCCCTACAGATGGGGATGTGTGCTGCTGCCCGCCGATATCGCGGGGCCTATCCCCAGCTGGGGTTAGGTCGGGCCTGTCCCCCTACAGGCGGATTTGGAGCGAAAAACTCAAAATATTCAAAACATGCCCAAAAATAGCCAAAACAGTCTCAAAAAATAGTCCGCAGACTATCTTTTTACTACTTTTGAATATTCCCCCAGTCAAAACAGTGTCAAACAAATCTCCTGTGTCTCTGCACTATTTCAAAGCGAAAAAATTCCAAATATTCAAAAAAAAAAAAAAACCTTCAAAATAGCAAAAACATTGCCAAACAATCGTCCCCAGGCTATCTTTGTAATACGTTTGAACCTTCCCCCGGGCCGAGGTGCCGTGGCCCCGCGGGGAGGGGGACCGGCTGCCCGGCTGCCCCCGGTCCGAGGAATCCGCGCGGACCTCGGGAGCTTTCCATACGTGCGACGTCATTCTTGTTTCCATACGTGTCATTGTTGTCATCGTCATTGTTGTTTCCATTGTTGTTTCCATACGTGTTGTCATTGTTGTTTCCTCGGGAGCTTATTGTTCCCGTGTTGTCATACGTGTTGTCATACGTGTTGTCACTGTTCCTCGGGAGCTTCTGTCATTGTTGTTCCCAGACGTGCGACGTCCTGTTTTTCCAATACGGCTTCACTGGAAGTCCCGACCCTTTCCCCAGGGTCGGTGTTTCATCCTGAGCCGTTGTGTTGACGGTCCCGAGGCCCGGCGAGGGCTCCCAGGAGCCGAAAACGGCGAAAAAACGCCGGTCCTAACTTTTTTGGCGACGCGATCATGTCCAGGAGATCGAAATGAATCGGATCGGCGGAAATCTGCAGTCGGGAGAAGTCGAATCGGCAGAGATCGGCAGGCTAGTAGGCCTCAATTGAGAAATCGGAACCCAAATCGCCATCGAAATCGAATCGAATCGGACGAGTCGACATGAGCCCTGTAGGGCTCCCCCAGCTGAGCACCCCGGGGGCCCCGGCGGCCTCGTCATCGGCGGTGCATCGGCGATGCATCGTCGACTTCGGCGATGCATCGGCGACGTCGGCGTGGAGAACATCGGGCGCCGCATCGAGCCGCCTCGCCAGTGCATCGGCGATACGGCGCAATCCTCCGACCCCGTCTACTCCAACCCCATCTAGGAGGCCTAGACGTCGAATCGGCAGAAATCGGCAGGCTAGTAGGCCTCTATTCAGGAATCGGAGCCCAAATCGGAATCCAAAGTCGAATCGAATCGGAATCGGAATCGGAATCCATCGAAATCGAATCGAATCGAATCGGACGAATCGAAATAAACCCTGCAGGGTTCCGCCAGCTGAGCACCGCATCACCGCATCGCCGATACATCGGCGACGCATCGGCGCTGCACCGGCGAGGCACCGTCGACGTCGGCGATGCATCGGCGACGTCGGCGTGGAGAAACTCGGGCTCCGCATCCAGCAGCGTCGCCGAATGCATCGGCGATGCGGCGCGAGACCCCATCTAAGAAGGCCTAGACAGGGTTCCCCCAGCTGTCATGCAGCTCCACTTGGGGGTGGCGGAAGCGGGGGGGGGCAACCAAACCGCCGCTGAGACAGCAAAAGGCCGCTCAAAACACAACCAAACGCACTTAATTGCACAACCAACCAAAACACAACCAACACAACCAAACCTCCGGGGGGCTCAGCTGCTGAGCACCCCGGGGGCCCCGGCGGCCTCATCATCTCCGCGGCCTGGCGCCGCGCCAGGTCGGCCTCCTCCGCCAGGTGGGCCGCGGCCAGCCGGGCAAAGCCCGCGCCGCGCCCCGCGCTCCTCCTTGTGGGTGGGGGGGGTGGGGGGGGGGGCGGCCTCTCGTCTGCCCGCCCCTGGCTCCTCCTCCTCCTCCTCCTCCTCCTCCTCCTCCTCCTCCTCCTCCTCCTCCTCCTCCTACCTCCTCCCTCCTCCTCCTTCTCCTCCTTCTCCTCCTCCTCCTCCTGGGATTGTGTACTTCCCGCCCACCCCGGGTTGCTCAAGCCCCCTCCCCCCAGGGTGTTGCGTAAAGCCAGGGGGCGGTCAGAAGAAACAGGGGTAGGGAGCCCCGAGTATGGCTTGCCTGCCCGAGCTGGCCTGACCAGAAGCATGTGGCGCGCGGGCATGGCAGGAATTTCTGGCGCCTCGAGCCTCCGCCCTTCTCTCGAAGAAAAAGCTATGCATAAACATGAACTTTCGGAGGTCGGCGCGGAGTTCTCGGATCAGCGCCGGGACCCCGACTTGTCACCCCGCTCCTCCTCCTCCTCCTCCTCCTCCTCC